CAACAACAACAAAACAGGGGCTTATGGTTCTGGCTGCATATCCATTCTGGGGAGTGTCGGTCCGGTTCCTTTTGCCCTGACAAGTCATGAGAATACAACAAGATAGGAGCTTTTTTTAAATAATAATAATAATAATAATAATAATAAAAAAAAAAAAAAAAAAAACAGAACCTTATGGTTGTGGCTCCTTATTCATTCTGGGGAGCGTCAGTTCAGTTCCTATTCCACCGGCAAGTCAGAAGGGAATACAATAAAAATTTTAAAAAATTAAAAATCACTCATGCTCCTCCACCTTTATGGTATGAAGGCCCGAAGGACGACATTGATTACTTCCTGATGGATAAGGAGCTGTTCTTTTTTGTTTTTAAGGAACTCAGGGAGCTGTTCTTAATATTAACAAAGAGAGTGATTTTTTTTTTTTTGGTATTCTGTGAGATTCCATGTGATGGCTGCTGTATATGATATACTTATTATACTACTACTGTATTTTTTATTGTGCAGTTTTAGGGACACTAGATAAGTGTGAAGGGATTCACCGACACATTTATCGCATATGTGAAGGGTGAGAGCATTCAGGAAGACACCCATTTCTTTACGGGGCTGTGCAGTCCACACGTCTTTGTGAGCGGTCCCCATCTGTCCGGGGCAAGACTGGTCGAAGACTCGAAGCAATCTGGTAAAAAGGGGGAGGGGTGGCCTTCCGGATAATCCCATGAGATTTACTTACGACTTCAAGATCGCCGATGTGCTTATGTCCATGGGAGAGGTGCAAGGTTCGCAGAAACATCACACCACGTTGTTATAGCGGCGGCACAACTGTTTTGTTCGCTGAACTTGGAGCACCTTCTGGTGGGGACTTTGTAACTGGACATGTTTCCGCAAGAAGTGTTATGCAGAGCATCACAGCCTCTCGCATGGAGTCTGTCTTGGCAGTCGCACGACGTGTGGAAGCATTCCGTCGATTCACATCTTCCTGACGCGAGGACTTTCTCTACCCATCCGTATCGTCATCGGTGTGTCCCTCAGTGCACAACCACAGAAAACCATGTCGCCGCATCTTTGCGTCATTGGCCTCAATGGGGTCTCTCTGGTGCAGGTTCATATGCAGGTGAACCTGCGAGTGGGAGGTGTATTTGTCGAACCGGTTTCCTAGACGGAGTTGGTGTGAGACGGACTTCCAGCTCGCCCGTCGCAGCAAGGTTGATGAAGAACCGGAAAGTGCGTAATCTGTCTCGCAAGTCGTTCCCTTTGAATCCATTGGCCTATCATCGACAACTACTCTTGTTCAGAGATCAATTGTCGAAGCAACGGCCTGAATGCGCACAGAAACTGTCCGCTACAAGGTCGAGCATTCTTCATACGGCAGCATGGTTCGACGACGTGGCATGGCCGTTCTCTAGTCCACATACTGGTGTGGATTCATCGGCGCTCGCTTGCCAGCGGAAGAGTCGTCATGGACAAGGAAAAGACGGTTGCTACGGCAGCCGAGGGAGACGTTGCTGCGAGGCCGTAGCAGTGGGTTTGCGGGGAAGAGGAGGAGGGGACAGGAAGACGCAGTCGTCGTGCATCAGGGCATCGTTGGCTTTCAGGGATGATGACATGGTTGCTGACGGTTCTGGAGAGGGGAACAGGGAGGCAGAGAATGCGACGAGCGGAGCTGTTGAGCACTCTGACTATCGTGCTTCCGATTCAACTGTCGTTTCGGAGGACACGGGTCCTGTCCTTCAAAGCGAAGAGAATGTGCGTGCCCATCGCTTTCCCTCTATCGGATGGCTGACCGAGGCCTTGGCATCTCGCCGGGAGAAAGCCAAAAGATTGCAGATCCAGATTCAAGAACTCGGGCTTGCGGGGGTTCTCTCGTACGGCTTGTTTAATACGCTATACTACCTGGCGACCTTCCTATTTGTGTGGTTCTACGTGGCCCCTTCTCCGGGGCGCCTAGGATACTCCGAAGCCGCAAAGAGATTCATCAAGGTCTTTGCGATGGTCTGGGCGGGAAGTCAAGTCACGAAGCTAGCAAGAGCAGGAGCTGCACTTTTGCTTGCTCCTCTTGTTCAGCAGGGTCTTGAAAGATTCTGTCGGCACTGGAAACTCAAGTCCCATGCGCAGGGGTTCACTATAATAGTTGCAGGGTGTTTTCTCTTAGCCCTTATTGTTTTCCTCATCATTGTTGGGTTATGGGCATGAGAAATGAAGGCTTAGCACTGCCTACCTGTATGAAACCTACCCAAGCTGTCGAGCGATTCCTTAGGCCGACCTGGGACTTCCCAACCGTCACAGAGTTCGACCGATAGGGAGCTGCAGGCTGAGGTGGTCTCACAGGTAGGCCAGACGGGACTCGAAGCCCCCGTGTATGTCGACAGTATTTGACACTGAGAAATCATAAATGTCCTTTTCCCGGCACATTCTTTTTTTTTTTTTTTTCCTTTTTTTGTGCACATTCTTGGGATTACTAATTACTAATTACGGTAACCATACCTACATTGTATGTATGTATGCATAAATAATATTAAAATAAATTAAATATTGATTGTCAATATTTATGTTGTTATGAAGTATTGACAATCAACATTCCCGGCATGTTGATTGTCAATACTTCATAAACAACACAACCACCTTCAAAAAAAAAAAAAAAAAAAAAAAAAAAAAAAAAAAAAAAAAAGATAGTCATGTGAGGCAGTGGTGGTGATGAAAGGGCTCTCATCGGCTGTGCAGGTACCACTCGGATGTTTTGACGCAACCTCCTGTACGCCTGCTGCTGAGGAACTGGTCCTGCTATGAACCCGGCGTAGTCCTCTGGAACTTCTTTGAACCTTCTTTGGACCTGGAATGGACCTTGCTGAGGGCGTCGCTTGGGCACAACGTGCTCACCTTGGCATTGAGACTGCTGGGATAATGTGGAAAAAAAAAAAAGAAAGAAAGAAAGAAAAGAGACTGCTGGGATAATGCAATCTTTTTTTTTTTTTTTTTTTTTTTTTTTTTTGAGACGATGCTCCAATCTATTCGTGGGGAGCAAMAAGGCKGGMAACSGGGCCCAGCGTCCCTTATCAGAATACGAAAATGAACTACGGGGGCCATTACCTTGCCCGGCTTCGGGTAAGAACAATTAAAGAAAAAGGAAAACTCAGAAACATTCAGAAAATGTGTGTCAACAAGCCTCCCAACCACGAATCAGATAGGTGAAACCTAATCAATCCACCTTCGACCACCACCAGCATGGCAGTTTTCAGCACGAACCGAAGCTCTTCCAGGCCTCATGCTCCCATCAGGCTACCGTCTTCACCCGAATGGAACGCCCGGTCAGTATCGCTGCATCTGAACCGAAAGTTGTACAAAATACAGCTATAATGACCGGGCGTTCTATTCGGGTGAAGACAGTAGGTTACAGAGTTGCACCACCTTGCTCCAGCACCGGCCAGCGTTGCTTCAGTTACGACCCCCGATAACCACTGAGACTGCCCCCGCAAACAGCCCCCCAGATCTCTCTACTAGGCCTCACGTCCCCACTAAGCTAGGTCACAGAGTTGCGCCACCTGGCTCCGGCTCCGGCCAGCGTTGCTCCAGCATCGGTCTTCGAGGGCCACCGAATTTTCAACCACCCTACGCAGGATCAAAGATGACTTGCCAGATATCACCTATTCCTACAACCTCCTCGAGAGGTGAACCAAATGGAAAGAATTACTAAACTGGATGTCCGAATTTTTTGAGAGAGATTGCCCCTCCCTCCCCCTACGCCTTCTCCCTACGCCTCCCCCCTACGCCTCCCCCCAACGCCTCCCCCCTCAGTCCCACACTGCCTCCGCCAAGGCTACGCTCCCGCTCTCCCTCGGCCCCAATATAGGACCAACCCTCTGCCCCACTTTCCCCAGGAGCACGCAGTTCCCACCTAAAGCATGCCCCCCCCACCCCTTGCCCATTTCTGCCTCTGCTGGGACTGATGTTGACCCACACTTCTTTGAGACATTCACCCCCCACCTTGTGATGCCCCTGCAAGATAGAGCTCCCCCCCACCCCCTTCTTACCGTTCAGCCCTCCGGGAACGATCCGATCCAGCCGACTACAGTTATTAATGACACACTTCCCAGAATGTCAATCGCAATTTGGAAAAGCAGGGCCTCATCAAAAACATGCAATAAGCCCCGAGAATACCCTACATCTTTAAGAACAACCCACTGAAGAAAGCGCAGAGCAGCAGTAAGGTACTACAATTATTCCCCTGCCCCTTGTGCCAATCAACTTTTGGCAGCTCCCACCATGTGCACGTATCACCAATTTAAGAGAAGCGACAAACTAATTGATGGAGAGATTCCGAAATTTTCGAGTTCAAAGATTAGGAAATCCTGATAGAACTTTACTTGAGACATGTAGAAATTGTAGTTGAAATTCAAGGATACGTAGTTATAGAACAGATCCCTATGCTGGCGATTCAGAATGGATGATATATGTTTGTGTGTATGTGTGAACACGTAGAGAGGACGCTTAGAAATGATTGTCGAAATTCAAGGGTATGTGTGTATGTGTGTACATGTAGATGAGAATTTGGCTGGTTAGAAAATAGAAGATAAATTGTACGTTTATTTTTGCAAAGCAAATTTGAGAAGCTAAGTTTATAATTGTGTAAGCACTAGATTAGAGCAAGAATAGAGGAAATTAGAAGATGCAAAATTAAAATCAGCGAAATCAATTGGAAAAGGCAGCTGATGCGAAGAGTGCCACACATGTTCGCACAAAATTGCCATCGCCACTGTCATTATCGCGCCGCTACCTGCTTCCGTGTCTTTAAAACTGATGAACGAGCTGAAATGAACGCCTGAAACCACCAGCTCTTTATGACGCTCCAGCTTATAACAAGCCTCCCTCCTCCCACTCCACATGAGAAGACGCTCCTTACTTTCTGCCCGCGCTGCCCAACCAACCTCCACTAGATTCGCGCAGGGGCAAAGGAGCAGGCCCACTACCATGCCCAACATCTCATGAAGACTATCCTAGTCACCATGACAGCCTCCCCTTCCTCTAGCGTGTCAACCCGCGACACCACATAAACGAAGCACGGAGCAAGAGACCTCTTCAGCCTAGGTTATCAAGGCTGGAAGCATCCCGTTGATGGCCGCGCCAAACAAACACCGATGGAACCTCGCGCCATCGCCTGCCGCCGTAACCCCCGTTGCCCACATCAGCTCCTCAGCATTTCCCCGCAGGGAGCCGCGCCGACGCCACCAACTCACGAACTGGCTCATGTCGATAGCGGAGCGGCGCGGCGCTCCCGGTAGC